ATTAAAATCTATTGCAAGTAATACTTACTATGCAAAAATAAAATAAAAATCCAAGCTGATGCTAAAATTTGATTTTGGTTGAAAGTAAGCAAATGCAAGTAAATTTTTAACTATTTGAAATTCATCCCTTATGTTTTCCACCTACGTACGTTGTCTCTAATTGTCCACCACGTTGGCTGTCTTTTGACGCCTCAAGCTACTACGCGGAGAATTAATTATGTGCAATCATTTGATGTTGTTTGCGGAGTTAATCAGGACGCGTCACATCATCATTTTTATGTACTGGTGTTTTGTACCATTATATACCGGGGATGGTGTATTCTTGATAGCCTCTGAACAGCCTAGTGACTTGCACATAAAATTTCTTAAAGCTGGCACGACTCATCAGCTAAATGTCGTGATATTTATTTAGATGGGGCAATCTTTCCTACAACCTCTCAATCCTATGAGTAAAAAATTTAAATGCATAATGAAAACTTCATGTCATATTAGTGCTTTCATAGAAAGTGAATTTGAATTTTATAGCCTTCTTCTCCCATACTTTCATTGACTCTGATTTCCCTTATTGTCTCATCCTAAGCTAGTTTTTGAATTAATTATCTCTGTGGGGAAGCTTAACGTCGTTCGCAGACTAAACAAAATTTGCCACGTTACCCGTCTCGCATCGGTTAACCCGCGGTTTGATACTGCTTGGTACCGACTCCGTAGCGTGGCTCCAGTACTGATGACATGACGATCTCCACACATAATGAGTTTCTCTAATTTTTGTGAGTGAGGTTTTAGGATATCACCTCCCTAAAATGTAGATCTAATCTAGCCATAATTTATTTTACTTCTGCTTTAATTATTGATTTTTAAATTTTTCTACAATGAAGACTACGTGGGCACCGGCTTTCTTATTGGCTTTTTAAGAATTTTAATCATAATTTTTTTTAATAATTTTTTGTATTAAAAATTATTTAAGAAAATTAATAAGAACCCAATGATAACCTAAACTACATTATTAAAGTGATAAGAAACAAATTGTTCATTAAAAAAAAAACTAAATATTTAAATACCGACATATCAAATACAATTTTAAAATAACTTTAACCTTTAATATTAACTCTAGTAACCATCATTAAAAGACCACCACAGTTTGCCCTAATTGACCTTTATTTTAATCATCTTTAAAAAAAGCTGCACGTGGAACCCTTAATTTTATAAAGCAACTGTTGCCCGACGCCTCGCCGCAACATGGAGATGATTATTAGCGCGGAGTGCAGACGGGGAGAACAGTCCGCACACTAATATAAAATCCAACTAGGTACCATTCGGTATCGCTTGATACCCTGTGTGTGTGCAGACGGTGCTCTCCCCGTCTGCACTCCGCACCTAATAATTTTTCCCCAACATGATGTGTTGAGTTCCTATTCAGTATCCAAACATGGCCTATTAGGACTTTATTAAGCAAATCACATTGGCTTAAAGATAATGATTAATTTAAATTATTTTAATAAACTGTAGTTACTTTAATTTTTTTAATAAATTTAAAGCTGAACAATTAAAAATCCACTAACAGCTGTTAATATAATTTTCTGACCAAGTGAGAAGTGCTTCTGCTAATTTTGTATGTCTCAAAACAATTAAATAATATAGAAGAAGGCAGAAAACCTAAATAAAGATTTGAGTTTGCGTGGAAAATAATTTTAATTAAAATTTTTTTGATCCAATAATAAATATTCGGTGGTTGACATATATATTAGATTTTATTAATTTATATAGCTAATATTTAAATATTGATATATTTTTTATAGAATGTTGTAGTATTTAAATTTTATAAGAAAGCTAGGATTATAATAATTTATTTAACTGAATAATATATACATAAAATATATGAATTTCATTTGATATAAATTAATGTTAGTGATATTTTTCATATTATTTAGTGATATAAATTAATGTTAGTGATATTTTTCATATTATTTAGTGATTAAGTGGTTATATAAATAAATCCAAAAATTAATTATTTTTATGTACAAATATATAAACTTTTTGTGATATATATGTAAATTTCCTATAAGAGGCTATTTGCTTGCCTGCAAGTAATGTGTAAAGTATTTAAATATAGAGGTTTTGAGAAGAGTAGTATGTGGTTTGAAGTGAAATAAATATAGTGTAAATTTTAGTGCATTTGTAATTCATCCTCTTGTTCATTTTTGGTGTATCTAGAATTCCTCCGATTTGGACGAGTTTCAAAATACACAGGAAATTCATTGTAATTGATGTTGCCATGCGCTGCATGCTGACCACCACCAATACATTCCTTTTACATCGTAAATACATTCTTTTTACACTATACATTCTTTTTACACTGCAATACTTTTGTAATGTATTCTTCTTTTTTTTTCAGCCAATCAAACGATAAATTATTCTATGTGGACACTGGACCGTTCAGAGCAAATCAGAATGCGTCACGTCACACGATACACATCACCGGTACATAACAAAAAAGTGTCGCATCTCGATTCATCTCCGAACAAAATCGGATTTCCACACGGAATAATTTTCCCAATCAAATAGTCTTTAATAAGATGAATAAATCTTTAGGCATTTGCTGAGAATCAAAGCAAGTATGAAAAAAAAAAGGTTCAGAGAATTGATTTTTATATGCACAGAGAGAGAGAGAGAGAGAGAGAGAGAGAGAGAGAGAGAGAGAGAGAGAGAGAGAGAGAGGTGTAAAGGGTTCTAAAATCTCTTTTCAAAGAGCCGAAGTTCTCTCTTATAACCATGTGATTAGGCATAAATAAATGGCCCAGAAAAGATGAACGGGTGCTATATGAACACTCTCCCTTTGTTTATTAGGATTCAATGAATTTATTTTATAAACGACGTGGAATCACATGCTTCATTTGATGAGTTATTTTAAAGGGGATCATTAATTAAGACTAATCTTCAGTCTAACACTTCTGTTACGTTTTATTTAAGGAGGTTTAGATATTTGTTGATTTCTTGTTGGTAGTTCAGCGTGATAATTTTAAAATTTATGGTGGTCAAGAATCAAGATGAGGAATTTATAAAATAAAATGGGACAATGAACCTTTGATATAAATTAAAAAATATTGATTGAGATTTGCTTATATTTGATGAAGATTTTATTTGGGACGAGTTTATTACTGTCTTTTAAAGCAGCTTTTTAATAAAAAGATTTTAATTTTTGTCCTAAGAAACTGCTTTAAGAAGCACTAAAAAAGCAGTTCCAAAAAAAAGCCGAAGTGTGGGATTAGTGGTTAAGTATAGGTAATTATAGGTGATTTGAGCATTGTATTAATAAAATTAATGTTGAATGATAAAAAAAGATAAAAGATTGCTTAAATAAAAATAAAAAAAATGGTTTAAAATGAATTTAAATTCAATAGATCACAACACTCAATAATCAATATAGAAACAAAATCAAATTAATGAATTAAATTATTTATTACAATTATAGATAAGTAAGGTCACAATATATTTTGTTGAATTCCATGTTTAAATGCTTAAAAGCATTTTTTTTTTAATTAGGTTAAGGATTACATCTAGTTTTTAATTAATAGTAATAAAGATTACATAAAAGAATCATTATAAAAAAGAAACAAAAACTTATGACAAGAAGAAAAGGTATAATTAAAATAAGAGAGTTGAGTAATAAAAAATGGACCACAATCTAAAAAAGCTATAAGAAAAGACTTCCAATAATCATGGACCCCTTCATGCAAGGGAACTATATTATCTAAAAAAAATTGTAAAACTGCAATTAAAAGGGTTTATTTGAGATGATTTTCTTACTGCTTTAAGAAGCAACAAAAAAATAAAAAGAAAGATGCCACAAAGGAAACCAAAGATAAACATATCAATTGTGTTCTACTTAAAAGAATAAGATTCATTATTTTTTGAAATAGCACCTGAGGCTTTGCCGGTGTTGGAAGAAGCCGAGGTCGAGCTTGACATGGGAGGGTCCTTAGGATGGAACTGCTCTGATATCATGAAGAGTTTCAAGAAGTAGAAGAAGATGGAAGAGGTAGCCAGACCTAAGGCAATAGAAACAAGAATATAATGAATCTTATTATTCAGTAGACATACAGGTGTAGTATATATAGATAGTACATCATAGGTATTACACGTGTCAAGTTCTTATAGGACAGCAAGAATACATGTGAATTAAGTTAGTTCATTGCTGTTCTAATACTTTTAATTGAAAAAAAATAAATAAATTAATATTCATCTAATTATTACCTAAGCGAGCACTTAAGGGGGAACCCACCATAAAATTGCACCTCTCCCATTTTATAAGCTTCTCAATGCACTCATAATTTTTTTTAACATAGTGATTGATGTGTTCGTTGGAGTAGCTCCAATAGAATATAAGATTAGAGAGAGTTGTCTTAGATGATTTGGTCACTTAAAACGTCGGCTTTCCGCTAACCCGGTTAGAAAAGTAGATGTATTAGATTTGACTTATGTAAAGAAAGGTAGAGGTAGACATAAAAATGCTTGGCTAGAAAATATTAGAAATAACATTTCTTTAGTAGATTTTGAATGAAAATTGATTTTTAATATGACACAATGGAGAAAAAGGATTGGTAACCAACACCATATAATAGGATAAAGACTTGTAGTTATTATTGTAGTGATTGATGTGTTCATTAGGAGTCATCAATTATTGAGTAAAAATCATGGGGGAGAAAATATATTAACATGCTATGATGGGTGGTAGTCAAAATTCAACCGCTATGAAAATTTGATCATAATTTTGAATGGAATTCGATAGGGTAGTCCTAATAAGGGGGTCTTAAGCTCAAATAGGCAAGCTAATTAGATGATCTTAATTAGAAGAAAATAATGACACACCATGTGGCTCTTGAGTTGAATTACAAAAGAAAATTTTGAAAATAATGAGTAGATTTTTTAAATAATTTGATCCATGAAATAAGCAACATCATCCAAAATTATACCAAAATTAAAACCAAAAAGACCATAAGACATTCAAGGGAAAGATAATTATGTGCTTCAAAATATGAAAATAAGCTTTATGTTGAAATACTTTCTTTCTTCAACATAATATACATTTTTCAAATATTTAATATAAAAGCTACATAAAAAATAGGGTACATAGTTTAAAAGCAAGAAAAAAAAAAAGCGCGTTCACCTTTTGTCAAATCAAATACAACTTGCACATTTTAACATTTTTGCTTTTACGAGCATCAAAGAAGAGCCACTAAGGCAAGCATTTTCTACGCATGGAACCACTATTTTTTTGGTTCTTTTTAAATTTTTATTATTTTATGTTGGTAGGCAATTTTAGGTCCAAGTGAAAGCTAACGCACTGGCGACGGTATGCTTTCCGTCGGACCACTCTAGCCGGCCCGAACCCGACGAACCAGAAGGCAGTGACGGCGCCGTGAACTTCACTGTGTAGCTCTTCTTCTCCCCCGTCTCCGTAAAATTCAACACTGCCGGTTCGACAGAAATCTTAACTTCCCCGCCGTCAACCTTCGCAGTCGCTGTCGCCTTGTAAGTCGCCGGAGGCCCTACATTCGTTACCGTCCTCTCATGCACCACCGTCGCCGTCGCACCCTTGTCGGCGCTTCCGCTAGCCGTCGCGAACGCCACTGAGAATGAGGGGTAATTGAGCTTCGACACTGCGTAGTTCTTCCGCGCGTCGCACGAGTAGTTCCGGTCCTTCGAAATTGCCGCGATCTGAAGCGATGTGTAGTCAATCGCGCAGAGGAATTCTAGGTAATCCTCTGGGGCAAGGTCGTAGATAAGTCCGGGATCCACCGCACTTTTGGGATCCGCGTGGCCGGCGCCAAAGTCGAACGGCGTCGCCGCCTGGCCGGTGGCGATGTCCAGGATGCCGTCACCGCCTGGGTATGTCACGTAGGCGGTGGTCATCAACGCGGATTTTATCGCTGCTGGGCTCCAGTCCGGATGCTCCTCCTTGAGGAGCGCCGCGAGGCCGCTAACATGCGGACACGACATCGACGTGCCGGAGATGATGTTGAACTCCACCCGCCGTGAATCGGTCGTCAGTCCAGTTGGGCCGATGGCACCTGTCCATCCGGCGAGGATGTTGACACCGGGCGCGATCAGATCTGGCTTTAAAATCTCCGGCGTTACGGCATTCGGCCCACGAGATGAGAACGCAGCAACTACCGGTGATGGCCGGACACCGACCTTTGTCCCGCCAAAGATGATGGTGGCGGTGGGATTGGGATCGGAGAGGGCGTACGCTTTGATCGCGTTTCCGGCTTTTTCCCCAATCAGGGTTGCGGGAAGGAGATGAGCATCGGCTACGAGTTCCTCGCTGTTCGTTGCAGTGTTCGCCAAAACCATGCCGGCACCGCCAGCGTCTTTAACTACCATTCCCTTCTGAACCCTAGCATTGATGCCTCTCTCGCAGAGGACCATTTTCCCGGCGACTTTCTCAGGCACGAGTGTTCCCGGCATACAAAGATTCCCATTACTTGAGTTCGTCGCGTTGCCGGCGTAGATTAAGGGGATCGGAGTCGACGAAAGGAGCTTCCCGCTATAAAGCGACACCCCGGTATAATTCTTTCCGTTGCCAAGAACAACATAGGCCGGGAAATCCCGATCGATTGTCCCAGCGCCGACGGTGCTGATCCACGGCGCGAGATTCGAAAGCGTGGCAGCGCCCGGACCGGCGTTGCCAGCCGAGCAGGAGACGAAAACCCCACTCTCCATCGCGTTAAAAGCGCCTATGGCGACACTGTCGCGGTAATAGTCTGTGGCGCCGCCGCCGAGTGAGAGGGATAGGATATGGCATCCATCGTTGACAGCTGCATCCATTGCCGCGAGGATGTCGGAGCTGAAGCAGCCTCCGGTCCAGCAGACCTTATACACGGCGATTCGGGCCCGGAGAGCCATGCCACGGGCTGTGCCCGTGGCGTAGCCAAGGAGGCTTGCATCGGAGACGGCGGAGCCGGCCGCGGTTGTTGAAGTATGGGTGCCATGGCCGTCAGCATCGCGCGGGGATTTCGACTCATGGCTCTCGTCGATTGGTCCCATACTGGATTCATATCCCTTTGAGAAGAATCTCGCGCCAATAAGCTTGCGGTTGCAAGACTTCGCCGGATCAAAGTCCTTGGCGGCGACGCACTCGCCTTTCCACACGGCCGGGATGGGGCCCAAGCCAGTATCGTCGAAGCTGTTGCGCTCAGGCCAGACGCCGGTGTCGAGTACACCGACGACGACGTCAGATGTAGTAGAAGATTCCGGGACGAGCTCGTCAGCGACATCTAGGCCAAGGAACTCCGGCGTGCGGGTGGTGTGAAGATGGTAAGTTGTGTCGGGCAGGACGGAAAGAACGCCAGGTCGGCGGGCCAGATTTCGGGCCTCAGCGGGGGTGAGTCGGGCCGCAAATCCGTGGGCGACGGTGTCGTAGGTGTAGAGCATATCGGCGTAGTCTGATATGGAGCGGAGCGAGGCGTCGTACCAGTGAGAGTGTTCGGTAAAGCGTGCTGGCATTTGTGTTTTCGCCATGTGGACGATGTAAGAAGCTCGCCGTGTGGCAGCCGAGGCGGAGGAGACGAGGATGAGGAGGAGGATGAAGGGGAAAAGGATGGGTCGGGCCATTGCGGGCTTGGTCTGGAGAGGGGTCTGTGAAGTGGTTTATGTAGCTGTGGTGGGTGGGAATTGGGAAAGGAAGGTGTGTTACGTATGGGGAATGATTGCGTTAAAGGCAGAGCAACGCGACAATGAGCAGAGGGGGAGTGAGGAAAGTGAAGAGTGCTGTGGAAATTGGGGGGCTCTGTGATCTGAGATCTAATACTGATATCAACGTGTATTTCTATATTAAGATTAATTTAATTAAAATCAATATATATAAAGCTTTCGATTCCTCTTGTAGTTATTCGGCGGGTCACAGAGAAGGGTGAGCGAGACAATAGTTGATAGTTGATAGTTGATACGTCTCTGCTTCTCCTCTAAGATGAAAAAAAAAAAAATCGATTGAAAAATTATAATTAAGGATTTATTTAGGTTGATTTTTTCATTATTTTATTTTATACTGAGCAATTATAATTTCTGCTGATTATTATTGTTTTTTTTAATTTCATTAATTATTTTCATAGCATTTTGTGATAGAAAGCTACTTTTTGAAATAAAAGTATTAAAATTATTTTTCTCATAATAACTTTATAATTAAATTTATAAGATAAAATTTACATGCATATCAGATTAAAGCATCATATTTATATATTTAACATTCAAAATGTTAATATTACATGCATATCATTCTATATTATTTTAATATCAAATAGAATAATTATTTACATAAAAAAATATTAATATTCTAATTTATTTCTCTTTAAAACGGAAGAGAGATACGTGAGGTGGTTTTTTGTCTTATTGCAGCAGGAGCAGCTAACAGCTCCCGTGAGCAATGGAAACGCAGGAGAGGTGCGCAGATTTGGAGACGGTAAGCTAGCTGTCTGTCACGGGTTGAAAGAGGTCCGCGATGTGCGTTGGACGCAAGGTACGGGTCAGCGGGACCACAAATTTCAGGTAAAATTACCGTATTTTCGGTATTTTTGAACTCAATATTTGTTATAGAAAAACTAACTAATTCGCAAAAATAAAACCGATTGGAGAGTTTTGGTTGCCATGATCGGAGGTGTGGTAAATAAATACCTAATTGTATCTATAATGTTTTTTTTTTTAATTTTTTTGGAAGGGAGTATGCACCCCTGTCATCCCAAAGGGCGTTTGACGACGTGTTTAATTTTCGGCTGACCTAGAAGAGGCACCCACCCCAGAAACCTCATGACCCGTACTTGATTGAGCTCCACTTAAGAGGCGCTATCGCTCGAGGGGAATCAAGCACAAGTTGGGGGGTTTTCAACTTTACTTGCCCACCAACCAAACTAAGCAACGATGGGTTCGATAATGTCTTTAAATACTTTAATTTCAAATGGGAAGAAACGAAGAATAAATAAAGAAATGAATTAGCCATCTTCTAGCTCTTTTTTTTTTTAATTTAGGTCAATTAAAATAAACTCATATACATATTAGATACTCAAATCTCTAACTCAAATTCTCTTGATTGATAGCCACAGCTCTCAACCAATAGATCATGATGAGCTTTGTCCTCTTTTATCTTTTATGTATTTTAATTTATAGAATTGGCTCTAGTCTTGTATGTGTGATGTCTGTATGAGTTTGTTTTAATTGATCTAAACATTTAAAAAAAAAAAACTAGTTGCTATCATTATTTGTTTGAAATGTGAAGATGGGTGGGTCGAGGGCAATGAGTGGTTGCAGGTGACTCTAACAGGAGGATCCTTCACTACGCCTATCATCTTAATGTTTTTTTCTTGATTTGGTTTACTTGCTGCTCGCTGGCGATGTTTTCTTGAATGGGAAATAAGATGAGGTTTCTTTGAGCAGGTAATCAATTAATGTTTGGTGCATATTCGTTTGGATCATCTGGCTAAATAGCAGTTTTGAGCTGAATAAAAAATGTCATAGTACCCACCGTTGCTTGTCCGAGTGGTGAAGAGCCGGCTTTGCAAAGCCTAGGTCCTTGGTTCGAATCCCTTGGCAAGCAGTGAAAGCCTTAAGTGTTGGCCCGTGTAAATTGTTGTGGGTTGCATGCTAGGTCGACCGGGATTTTCACTGACCTAAAGACAATGTTCCTCGTCACAAAAAAAAAAAAGTCACAGAAATGCATGATTTGTATCGATTTCGAATGAGATTATATGAATATATTTTCTTAGGAGAATATTGGATGTGAATATTTTTTTTTTCTCAAATTTTAATTATGATGGATTTTAAGTTCTTAGTTTTGCTGTGAGATTAGTGTAATATGTGATTAATCAATAAACTTTTATATTGAATTTGATACGTCGTTATCAGTAAACTTGATTTGGTGTGAATCTTGATGTACATTTGAATTGAATTTTTTTAGAATTAAGTTAATGAGCATTCGAATTCTGATTTCGGCAACTTTATAGTCGAATTGAATATTGTGACAAAATGAACTCTATGACACCAAAAATTGTCTAAAAAAGCTTAGATCAAGACACTTGAAGCTTAATACAAAATTTTGGAATGCTGAAAGGCAAAACGATCCTTGAATATTGTATGCTTATAATTATATGAGGTATCTTAATAATACGAATTCGACTAGTCAAAATTGTTTAATTCTAATATCATTAAGAAACTTAAATGATGAAAATAAAAAACAATATGATTGAGGATTCAATATCTATTAGAGTGAGTTCATATTTTAGCTATACTTATAGGGGTCATATCATTCTGAAAAATCAATTAATAAACTCTCATTTTGTACACGAGCGAGAGGTTGGGACACTTGGTTTGAAATTCAAGAAAGCTTATAGGTTTGAATAATTTTGGAGCTCCTACGAGCACTATCGTCGAACTACTACTCGGCTATCATCGTCAAAGCACCATCACCCGATTATGATTATCCAAACACAATTGCTCGACTATAGTCCTCTCACCATTGTCTCCTAACAATGGTCATTCGACCTCTGTTGCTTGACCATGGTCTCCTTCCTCAGTCGCAAGATCCTTATGTTAGTCTTTGCAGAATTTAAGCGTGTCAATCAATTGGATTGTAGTATTTCCATGAACCTCAACTCAGTTTGTAATGCTCATTGGGGGGTATGGGGGTGTTATGTGGGGGGGGGGGGGGGGGGGATGCAAACTGCTTGGGTTCATGTGCTTTGCTCTATTTTTTTTAGCACAACACCTCAACACAATGTACCCGAGCTTCTCAGTATTGTGTACTTGAATGCCTAGACACTACATAGTTCACTTGGAGAAAAGAAAAAGAGCAGAGCACTGCAGCGCTTAAGATCTGACGCTATTAGGCAAATTTGAGACACAACATTAAGTTTTGAGGCACTCCAAACTGGCACCACAGCATTACGAGGGCAATTGGACAGATTTTCTTTCTCATTTTTCTTAAGTGCGACGTCCCTTGGTGGCATGTATTGTATCACTTAATTTGTTCTTATGTAAGAACAGTGTGAGAAGAGAAGCAAGGAGGGAGCGGGATATAAAAGAGATTTGTACCCGAGCATCCCAGTATTGTGTACTCAAATGCCTAGACACTGCATAGTTTACTTGGAGAAAAGAAAAAGAGCAGAGCGCTGCAGCGCTCAAGATCAGACGTTGTCAGACAGATTTGAGACACAACATTGAGTGTTGAGGCATTCCAAACCGGCACCACATCATTGCGAGGCTGGTGGAACAATTTTTCTTTCTCATTTTTCTTAAATACGGTGTCCCTTGGTGGCATGTATTATATCGCTTAGTATGCTCTTATGTGCATGTACAAATTTCTTCCAATTTTTATAATGAATTTCTTGGTGTGATGTGGTGTGGCTCCGTAGTTTTTCCTAGTTTCGAAAATTTTCTACGTTAAATCCTGGTGTTTTTAACTTTTCGCTGCATTTATATTTTTTTGTTTGTTTTATTGTGTGATTTACTTCCACTCCCAACACCTTTGACCTCCATTACTTAATCATGGTCCTCATAACACCGTCGACATAGTATTTGATTACCATTTTCTAACCATAGTCCTTTGACCACCATCATTGTCCTTTGATCTTTTGATGATTGTTACCCGATTATGATCATCGACCACCATTGCTCGACTATGATTCTCTAGTTATTGTCATCTGACTATATTGACGCACGTTAACTTTGTCACATGACGTCGCTAACACCGTTAACTCTTTTCATCACCCACATGATCGATGCACATTGGTGATACCAACTCTAAATCCTAATGTCAATACTACTGTTGTAAACATGTCGAGTCGAGTTGAGTAATGGTCTTATTGAGCTTGGCTCATCGGTCAGATAATTAGCTTGAACTCGAGCTCAAATTGAGCTCAAAAGGCAAGCTTGAGCTGTACTTGTCGCATTGCAGGCCGGCTTGTCGAGCGACTCGACAAGCCCTTGTCATGGTTCCCGCAGGTGAGCCCATCGTTGAGAGGTCGTGTCGTGCCTTCCACCTGCGAGCCCGCGACTTGGTTCCCGCATGGGGAAGATGAATTGCTATTATGCTTGGATTGTTTTCTCTCTTTTTTTTTTTGGACATTTAGGCCATTTAAGGCAAACTCACACACGCAACGCATACGACCATACACTAAGACTCGAACCCAAGACCTCTTAGTTAATAGCATAAGCTCTCAACCAAGAGGTCAATGTGAGTTGTCTCTTATTATTTTCCAAAAATAAAGAATAGCTGGCATTAAATACATTAAAAGTTGTAGGATATATTAAATGCTTTAATATTTAATATTAAATGTTACGACAAAGCAAGATTTTCTCCCACGCACCCTATTCCTGATGTTTGATTTCAGATTTTCTTTAATATTAAATTTTACTCCCAAAGCCAGAAATATAATACCATAACTTGGCTTTAGGTGGAAAATGCTTAAATATTAAAAATTCTCAAGAGAACTAATATTTCTCTCTCTCTCTCTCAAATCTCTTGATAATGAATTTAAATATTTTCTTAGGGTAATAGAAAATGTTAGGCGTCTGTCTACCTTCGAGCCCAGCATGTCTTAGGCGGGATTAGAAAAAAAAATAGGTTCATGTTAATAATAATTTAGGCTGGATTATATATATATATATATATATATATATATATATTCAAATTTAATAAATAAAAAATAATAATTGAGCAAGCTCATGAGCAGAGCCTCATCAAGCTCGAACTCAAGCTCAACTCATGAGCTCGATAAATTTGGCTCGCAAGCCCATAAATGAGTCGAGCTCGAGCCGACTCGCGAGCCGACTTATCTCACTTACACCTCTAATCAATACCAAGATTTATGCTAAACTTTTTGACCTCTGATCTCCCTCCTCAATTGAGAATGAACAACAAATAACAAACAATCTCTTAAAATTAACTTATATGCTACGTGGTTCATTTAATCTCTATCATCCACCACAAAATATATAAGTTTTGGTTTATGCCTATTATGTTATATCAACAATTTTTTCAATTATGGGAGATGGCATGATTTGTAATCTATGTCGACTATTTATAAAATCATTTTAACTAGGTCATGCCTCATAATTTTTTTTTGAATTAAAAAAAAAAAAACTCTTACGTCTCTTCAACTTATCTTTTTATGAGTGTGTTACAAAGATAAGATGTTAAACTTTCTTTAGTGACAACATAGACTTCGTGGCATTTTACAAAATCTTAACAAAAATTTAAAAGCTTATTGCCTAATATTAAGAGTCATATTAGGAGAGTGTTATAAAACTAATGTGATTTTTGTTGCTTGGAAGTAAGAGCCTTAAACCAATGTTTTTATTTGTGCAAGTTTGTCCTCTAAATCCCCTTGACATTGATATTAATATGTCACCCAAAATCACTTTGATCGAGCACAGATCTTGAGGCATATTATAGTTAGAAAATTTGAAAATTAAATGTGGGACCATCTAAACTCCAATTTTAGTAAACTTATAGTCAAATTGAATGTCTCAATGAGACGAACCTAACTACGCCAAAATTGATCCAATCCGAGCCCAAATAGGCACAAATAGGGGATTGAAGCATATTAGAAGCTTTAGTGCATTAATTGGATGAATAAATGATATCCAAATATTGCATGCTAATGTTGCATCGAGCGACTTGACAAGATAATCCAATGAGCCTAAGATTGCTTAATTATGACATAATTAAGATGCTTAAATGTTGAGCAAACTCTTCATGATCGAGAGAGTCTAAATGCACTGTCCGATGGAGCACTCCGAATTTAGCATGAATCTTCTTCGTACTTTTTGAGCATGTCAATCTTAAAATCAATAAATATGCCTCCTCTTTCCACATAAAAAGGAGGCTTGGACTTTGGGAGATTTAGACCTTAGGCTGAATACTTAAGAGAGCTCAATGCTTGAAACATTCCGGACCTCCACCTCCACACCACCGTCGATGAACCCTTACCACTAGGCCACCGTTGCTAGACCTTTGCGACCATAACCATCAGACCTCCATTCGACATCCATTATCGGGCCTTCATTTGACCTCCATTGCTTGTCAACTATAGTCCCTATGACTATCGTCACCTGCCAACTACGGTCCCTCTGACCTCCGTCGCCCACCGATTACAATCCCTTTAAACACCTTTGTCCCCTGATTAGGATTCCTCTAACCTATGCTACTCACTGACTGTAGTCCCTACGACCATTATCGCTAGTCGACTACAATCCTTATGACCACCCTCGCCCGTTGGCGATAGTCCCTGCAACCTTCACCGCCCACTAACTACAGTCCCTATGACCACCGCCACCCGTGGACTACAGTCCCTCCAACCACCATCGTGTGTTGACTATGGTCCCTCTGACCATCGCCACCCTAAGACTACGATCCCTCTAACCACCGTCATCTACAAGTTATAGTCCCTCCGACCACCATCGCCCGTTGACTATGATTCCTCCTTCCTCCATCATCCACCGATTACAGTTCCTCTGACCACCGTAGCCCACCGAATATGGTTCCTCCAACCTCCGTCACTCGACTATAAACCTACCGACCAAACAAACATGCTAAAATTCTTTTGAGAACAATTCTGATATTATTGGATTCTTCCAACTCCCACTATGTAATGTGCTATATATGATGCATATTTGCTATATTAAACCAATGCCTTTCTCTTGAGAAAGGGCATCATTTCTAATAAACTACAAATACTAGTATAATTATTTTAATTGGGTTAGTCCCATTGATTTTCCCCTCTTTATTATTTTTCACGTAAATTTTTTATCTCTTTAATAACTCTTACACATCTTTCTCTTATCTCTGTGTGCTGGATCTTCAAACAAAGCTAGGACACTAAACCCTATATCTTTATACATCCATGAATCTTTTAACTTGTAATAGCTTGCGCCATCTGTGGAAATAATCATTGGATGGGGGGAAACTTTTTGCTACAATCTTGAAAGATCGTTCACGCCAATGTCTTGTGCATGGTTGTAGTAAGGTAGTCCCATTACCATGCTGTATTAAAATGTATGAAAAAAAGGTATTCAATACTAAGGGCAAACTCATTACATTAGCAAACATGCATCTCCCATCAACTATTATCCCTCATTGCATCAATTTTGTGGTAATTAGATTTGGACTGGGGGACAATGTTGACTACAATCTCAAATGTTGTTATGGTCATTCAAGTCATTCCGATATTTTATGCATCCAAGATAATCTTGCTAGAAATCATCTATCTTAAAAGCTTCTAACAAATACATGAAAACTTTAAGTGAATACAAAATTCTATAGAGTCTCCAAACAGACTTCTACTCCTTGGGCAAGGTCATAGTCTCAAAAAAAAAAAAAAAAAAAAAAAAAAAAAAAAAAAAAAAAAAAAAAAAAAAAAAAAAAAAAAGGCCCAAAGATAGACCAATCTTTACATTCAATTTGGGATACAGACAACGTTTGTTGTATCCCAATCAAGGCATAATTAGTTCCAGGGGGGATTTGATTTGATTTTTTTCACGCATGTTAATATTATTGAGCAACACTTTGACTAATAATCTTGAATGGTTCAAGTATCCCTGGTGGATTCCCTCGATCTCTTCCATACAGGTTAACACTATTAAATAATACTTCGATAAATAATTTTGGATATGTCAAACATTCTTATTGAATTTATCTTGGCCTCTTCAACTCATGTTAATGATATCAAATAATACTTTGACAAATAACATCGGATATGTTAAACATCCTTGTTGAATTACTCTCAATATCTTTCACATATGTTAACATTATCGAGCAATACTCTATGTTAATATTATCGAGCAATACTCTGATAAATAATCTTACATAGGCCAAACATCCTTTGTGAATTATTTAACCTCTTCCATACATGTTAACGTCATTAAGCAATGTGCTGACAAACAATCTCGGATGGATTAAACCTTCCTTATGGACTTATCTTGACCTCCACCACATAGGTTAACTTCATCGAATAATGCTTTGACAAAATACCTCAAATAAGTTAAATATCCTTAATGAATTTATCTCAACTAGTGTAAGTGTTGTAGTAATGAAAAATAATTTCTATAAACTAAGTATAAACAGACTATTTGTAGCGTTGTAGTAATGAAAAATATATAATTAATGTTAAATAAGATACTGTTATAGTTTAATAATGTAAGTGTTAATAGTTTTAATAAATGTTATTTGTTATTTCCAAGGAACCAGCCAGTTTTTTTGCATGAGTCGGGCTCGAAGGCCTTGATTATGGGCCAGGCATTAATGGGCCGAAGAATTAATTCTAGAGAAGGCCGTGGCTGCCTGTGAGCAGTCGACTATAACTCCGAAGAGAAGGTTGGCAGCGGGGAAAAAAAGGCGGAGAACAAACGGCCGCGGCCAACAGAGGAAGAAAGGAGAAGAAGATGGCGACGGTGAGCCTTGCCCCGGGGCTCTCTCGGAAACTGAAGAAGGTGCTTGCGACTCGGACAGACAGCCCTGATCTACTGGATTCGTTGGGCACCCTTTCTACCTTCTACACAGACAACACCCCGCAGGCTCGGAGGAACCTCCGCTCTTCGATCGAGCTTCGCTCCCTCTCCATCAACCATCACTTTCTTTCTGCTTCTCTACCAGCCCAGCAGGTACTCTATTCTTTCCTCTTACTCACAAAACCTCAGATCCTTCTTTGGTTTCTTCCTTACATAATCCGCAATCCTCTTCACGCGATCCAGGCTCTGGATAAAGTTGAAGAAGAAATTAACGCCCTGGCCGAATGCTGCGATCAGTGAGTTTCTTTACCGGGATTTGTACTTCAGTGTTTTATCCATTTTCTTAAATCATTACCATAGACGACCCGGAATTTGTTCCACAGTGGTTTTACAATAAGGATATTACGCTCAACTGTTTCTTATGTTAGATGAACAAATACGCTATTGTATTACTTCTGCTGACTGTTCAATCATTAGTTGGAAGGTTCTAATAATATGTGGAATATTGATCGTTGCCAATTTTTTTGTACCCGGGTGGTTAAGGTTTGTTTGTTTCATGTTGGGTTAGGGTTAGACAGCATTTTCTATTCAATAATTCGTAGTCCAAGCTCATTGGAAGATTTTATTGCTGTTGTAATTCTTTTGGGTTCTTATTCTGAGGGCATAAATTTGATCTGCTGTTGAAGATGCATTAATAGAAAGAGAGAATGGATTAACATTATTCTTCTATCACCAAAGAAGCAAACTTTTAAAATTTTTTAAAAAGTACTAATTCTGATTCGTGTCCGAAGGAAGTTACTCTTCGGGGGTATGCTAGTGTTTACTGAATGCATGATAACATTGTTTCAATCTTGTGTTATTCAACTCCTTTTCTTTTGTCCAGAATAATTCTGTTAGGACAAAAAGAAATTAATTCAGCCTAAATTTTCTATGATTGCCAAATCAAAGTTGTTTCAGATGGAGTGCTATTTGTAAGCCTTATATATTACAGGATAGCGAAGGCATTGAGCAGCTGCAGTGCAAGTACTGGAGATATCATTCGTACCACTGAGAGGCTAAAGCAAGAGCTTGATGTCACTACTCAGCGCCAGGAAATTGTGTCATGCTTTCTTCGCGATTACCAACTTTCCAATGAAGAGGCATGTCAGTAGCTTTATTGATGTATTTTTCTTTTTTTGAAGTTCAATGTCAGGGCATCAATTTATTTAGATTATAGTAGGCTTATTTTGCTAAAACTATTAATTTTACTTCCACAATAAATGCAGATTTCTGCACTAAGGGATGAGGAACTGAATGATAATTTTTTCAAGGCACTCCAGCATGTTCAAGAAATACATGCTAACTGCAAGATACTCTTAAGAACACATCACCAGGTATCATATCATTGTCTCATCTTTTTGAAGGTTGCAGTAAATTCAAGTATGGCTTTGTTAACTTGGTAATACATTTATTAAAGATGTTTTATGAATAATTTTAAAAAATAGCAGGGGAGGGATTGTGCCTGAAATAATGCAAGAATGAGAATTTGCATCCTTATTTCTATATGAAAATAAGTTAGTAAATGTTTTTTTTTATTAAACCCTTGATCTGAAATATGTCCTACCAGTCTGTTAATGCATGAGTGTGTGGTGTAGGCCCAAGTTGTGGAAATAGTATCCGCTTTTTCTTTTTGTGGTTGGTGTTCTAAAAAATGCATAATTAGAACATCAGGCTCCTGCCAGTTATAGTATCCGGGGAGGGATTGGTTGTGTTGCCTTAACCTTATATGTGCTTTTAGCAGAGATGTTGCTTTGTAGTGCAAACTGTGGCCACTAATCACCAGAGGGACAATCTGACCTGCGTGCCCTTCCTTTTTTGTTTGATCTTCTGAATTTGCATATTTACTCATGAGCTTGAACTAGATAGTTCATAAATTCTTCCTAACATCAAAGGAAAACTCTAACAAAATTGTCCTACACATTAAAATTGTAGCTTTGCTTCAAAATTGAAGTCTAATTATTGACTAGAAACTGAAAATACGAGCTTGTTAAACTCGAGTTTGCAGTCAAATAGCTGAATGGAATTATTACCACGACAAATGATATGCCGGAAAATTTTGATTTGAAATAGAAAAAAAGATCAATAAATGTCTAAAGAATGTTGTTGCATTATTTTTCCTTTGATGTTATTTTATCTGTTGCTCCTCAGAATGCAAAAAGATTAACCAGCTTGTTTCCATTCTTTTCCAAATTTGTCAAATGCATTTTTAAAAAACGAAATATCTGCTTATGTGATGATGCCGGTTCATGAAAGCTTTTCATTCATTTTAGAGGTATGCATGACTATGATCATAAGCTTGTTTGCAGCGTGCTGGTTTGGAGCTTATGGACATGATGTCTGTTTACCAAGAAGGTGCATATGAAAGACTATGCAGGTAAAGCATCCTTCGTAGTGTTAAAATTGCTGAGTACTAGAATGCTATTAATGCAGAAAAGCTATTGCTTTTTTATTTGTTACTGTGTTGCAAATCAGTGCTGGTGGTAAGAAAGCTTTCAAAACACCCCTCACCTTCACCAAAGGCCCTCACCTTTGCTAGAGGCCCTCACCTTCGCCAAAGGCCCTCATCTTTGCCAGAGGCCCTCACAGACCCCAATCTCCTGCCAACTATGGTCCTCCCAACCTCCATCACCTACTATGGTCACTTCGACATTCATCACCAGACAACGGTCACTCAGACCCCGGTATCCTACCGACTACGATCCTCCCGACCTCCGTCGCCTACTATGACCACTCCGACCTCCATCACCAGACAACGGTCACTCAGACCCCGATCTCCTACCGACTACGGTCCTCCCGACCTCCGTCGCCTACTATGGTCCTTCTGACCTCCATCATCAGACAACGGTCTTTCCGACCTCCATCCTATCGGCTATGGTCGTGCTGACAAAACAAATACATCTATTGTAACTCCCACCATGTAATACACTCTATATGATGTACATTTGTGACATCAAGCCAAGACCTTCTCCCCTCATTTGTAATCGACTACAAACACTAGTGGATTCATTCAAACTGGACCAGGCCCCGTGGTTTTTCCCTCTTTTCAGATGTTTTTCATGTAAAAATCTTGGTGTCTTCTAAATGCTAGACCTTTTCTCTTATCTGATTGCGTGTCGAATTTTTGTACAATGCTAAGACGTTAAACTTTATATTTCTCTACCGCAGCGAATACTCCTGGATGCAACAGACCTAAATATCTAAAAAAAACTAGTTGCTATCATTAGTTGTTTGAGATGTGAAGATGGGTGGGTCGAGGGCAATGAGTGGTTGCAGGTGACTCTATCAGGAGGATCCTTCACCAAGTCTATCATCTTATTGTTTTTTTCTTGATTTGGTTTACTTGCTGCTCGCTGGCGGTTTTCTTGAATGGGAAATAAGATGAGGTTTCTTTGAGCAGGTAATTAATGTTTGGTGCATATTCGTCTGGATCATTTGGCTAAATAGCAGTTTTGAGCTGAATAGAAATTAAAAAATGTCAAAGAAATGCATGATTTTTATCGATTTCGAATGAGATTATATGAATATATTTCTTAGGAGAATATTGGATGTGAATAATTTTTTTTTTCTCAAATTTTAAATAGGATAGATTTTAAGTTCTTAGTTTTGCTGTGAGATTAGTGTAATATGTGATTAATCAATAAACTTTTATATTGAATTTGATACGTCGTTAACAGTAAACTTGATTTGGTGTGAATCTTGATGTACATTTGAATTGAATTTTTTTAGAATTAAGTTAATGAGCATTCGAATTCTGATTTCGGCAACTTTATAGTCGAATTGAATATTGTGACAAAATGAACTCAATGACACCAAAATTTGTCTAAAAAAGTCTAGATCAAGACACTTGAAGCTTAATACAAAATTTTGGAACGCTGAAAGGCAAAACGATCCTTGAATATTATATGCTTATAATTATATGAGGTATCTTAATAATACGAATTCGACTAGTCAAAATTTGTTTAATTCTAATATCATTAAGAAACTTAAATGATGAAAATAAAAACAATATGATTGAGGATTCAATATCTATTAGAGTGAGAGTTCATATTTTAGTTATACTTATAGGGGTCATATCATTCTGAAAAATCAATAAATAAACTCTCATTCTGTACACGAGCGAGGGGTTGGGACACTTGGTTTGAAATTCAAGAAAGCTTATAGGTTTGAATAATTTTGGAGCTCTAACGAGCACTATCGTCGAACTACTACTCGACTATCATCATCAAAACACCATCACCCGATTATGGTTATCCAAACACAATTGCTCGACTACAATTCTCTAACCATTGTCTCCTAACAATGGTCATTCGACCTCCGTTGCTTGACCATGGCCTCCTTCCTTAGTCACATGATCCTTATGTTAGTCTTTGTAGAATTTAAGTGTGTCGATCAAATGGATTGTAGTATTTCCATGAACCTTAACTCGGTTTGTCATGCTCATTTGGGGGGGATGCGGATTGCTTGGGTTCAGGTGCATTGCTCTATTTCTTTTAGCACAATGCCTCAACACTGTGTGCCCGAGCGCCCCGAAAATATGTACCAGAGCGTCTCATTATTGTGTACATGAATGCCTAGACACTACATAGTTCACTTGGAGAAAAGAAAAAGAGCATAGCGTTGCAGCGCTCAAGATCTGACGTAATCAGGCAGATTTGAGACACAACATTAAGTGTTGAGGCACTCCAAACTGGCACCACAGCATTGCGAGGGCAATTGGTCATTTTTCTTAGGTGCGACGTCCCTTGGTGGCATGTATTGTATCACTTAGTTTGTTCTTTTGTAAGAACAGTGTAAGAGATACGAGAAGTAAGGAGAGAGCAGGATATAAAAGAGATTTGTACCCTAGCATCCCAGTATTGTGTACTCAAATGCTTAGACACTGCATAGTTTACTTGGAGAAAATAAAAGAGCGGAGCGCTGCAGCGCTCAAGGTCTGACACTGTCAGGCAGATTTGAGACACAACATTGAGTGTTGAGGCACTCCAAACTGGCACCACAGCATTGCGAGGATGGTAGAGCAGTTTTTCTTTCTTATTTTTCTTAAGTGCGGCGTCCCTTGGTGGCATGTATTGTATCGCTTAGTATGCTCTTATGTAAGATCAGTGTAAGAGAGAAGAGAAGCAAGGAGAGAGCGAGATAGAAGAGAGCCTTGTACAAATTTATTCCAATTTTTATTATGAATTTCTTGATGTGGTGTGGCTCCGTAGTTTTTCCCAGTTTCAAATTTTTCCATATTAAATCCTGATGTTCTTAACTTTTTGCTGCATTTATATTTTGTTGTTTATTTTATTGTGTGGTTTACTTCCACTCCCAACACCTTCGACCTCCATTACTTAATCATGGTCCTCATAACACTGTCAACCATAGTATTTTGATTACCATTTTCTAACCACAGTCCTTTGACCATCATCGTTGTCCTTGGATCTTCTGATGATTGTTACCCGATTATGATCATCGACCACCATTGCTCGACTATGATTCTCTTATTATTGTCTTCTAACTATATTGATGCACGTTAACTTTGTCACTTGACGTCGCTAACAATGTCAACTCTTCTCGTTGCCCACATGATTGATGCATATTGGTGATACCCAACTCTAACTCCCGATGTCAATACTACGGTTATAAACATGTCAAGTAGAGTTGAGTATTGGTCTTATCGAGCTTGGCTCATCGGTCAGGTAATTAGCTTGAACTCGAGCTCGAATTGAGCTCAAAAGGAAAGCTGAGCTGTTCTTGTCGCATTGCAGTCCGACTTGTCGAGTTGCTCGACAAGCCCTCATCATGGTTATCGCAGGTGAGCCCATCGTTGAGAGGCCGTGTCGTGCCGCGAGACTGTGACTTGGTTCCCGCATGGGGAAGATGAATTGCTGTTAGGCTGTTACGCTCGGATTGTTTTCGTTTTTTTTTTTTTTTTTGACATTTAGGCCATTTAAGGCAAACTTACACACGCAAGACATACAACCATACACGAAGACTCGAACCCAAGACCTCTTAGTTAATAGCCTAAGCTCTCAACCAACAGACCAATGTGAGTTGTGTAATTGTTTTCCAAATATAAAGAATAGCTGGCATTAAATACATTAAATGTTGTAGGATATATTAAATGCTTTAATATTTAATATTAAATGTGAAGACAAAGCAAGATTTTCTCCCACGCACCCTATTTCTGATGTTTGATTTCAGATTTCCTTTAATATTAAATTTTACTCCCAAAGCCAGAAATATAATACCATAACTTGGTTTTAGGTGGAAAATGCTTAATATGTCTCTCTCTCTCAAATCTCTTGATAATGAATTTAAATATTTTCTTAGGATAATAGAAAATGTTAGGCGTCTGTCTGTCTTTGAGCCCAGCACCACGAGCCCAGCATGTTTTAGGCGGGATTAGAAAAAAAAACATGTTCATGTTAATAATAATTTAGGCTGGATTATATATATTCAAATTTAATAAATAAAAAATAATATTCGAGCAAGCTCATGGGCAGAGCCTCATCAAGCTCGAACTCAAGCTCAACTCATGAGCTCGATAAACTTGGCTCGCAAGCCCATAAATGAGTCGAGCTCGAGCCGACTTATCTCACTTACACCTCTAATCAATACCAAGATTTATGCTAAACTTTTTGACCTCTGGTCTCCCTTCTCAATTGAGAATGAACAACAAATAACAAACAATCTCTTAAAGTTAACTTATATGCCACGTGGTTCATTTAATCTCCATTATCCACCACAAAATATATAAGTTTGTTTATGCCTATTATGTTATATCAACAATTTTTTTTCATTTATGGGAGATGGCATGATTTATAATCTATGTCGATTATTTATAAAATCATTTTAACTGGTCATGCCCTATACTTTTTTTTTTTTGAATTTTTTTTTTTTTTAATTCTTACGTTTCTTCAACTTATCTTTTATGAGTGTGTTACAAAGATAAGATGTTAAACTTTCTTTAGTGACAACATAGACTTTGTGGCATTTTACAAAATCTTAACAAAAATTTAAAAACTTATTGCCTAATATTAAGAGTCATATTAGGAGAGTGTTATAAAAATGATGTGATTTTTGTTGCTTGGAAGTAAGAGCCTTAAACCAATGTTTTTATTTGTGCAAGTTTGTCCTCTAAATCCCCTTGACATTGATATTAATATGTCACCCAAAATCACTTTGATCGAGCACAAATCTTGGCATATTATAGTTAGAAAATTTGAAAATTAAATGTGGGACCATCTAAACTCCAATTTTAGTAAACTTATAGTCAAATTGAATGTCTCAATGAGACGAACCTAACGACACAAAAATTGATCCAATCCGAGCCCAAATAGGCACAAATCAAGGGATTGAAGCATATTTAGAAGCTTTAGTGCATTAATTGGACGAATAGATAACATCCAAATATTGCATGCTAATAGTCGAATTGAGGGACTTGACGAGA